CAGGATCTGTAGTTGTAATTTACTAGTGAAGTGTCTCTGGAGAAGAATCTCTCCAGTGGAGAAAGTGAAAAAGTTGGGATCTGCAGTTGTTCAGTAATGATCTACATCATGAGTGTTTCTAAGAAGGCTGGGTGATTTTTTTAGATCTTAGGATTTTTGTTGTTAATAGCATCAAGGACTTTGCATTGTCCATGGACGAATGGTTAAAACCCTCAATTCCCAACAGCCATGAACCAGGATTGAATCCTGCATTGGACACTTTGTTTTAATGTCATTAACCCTCACATATTACTCATTTTTGTCAATCTGATAAGCTAGGTTGCTCATTTTGAGCAGTACCTAGTAAAGTGATTTTGGAACCAGGGTATTTATTCAGGGCCTGATCTTTCTTACTTATTGCCAATGCTTTCCTTGATCTGTGGTTTTAGAAGGCCAAGTATGACATGACAAAGTCGGTCCAGAAAGAACTAACAGCCAGGGTGGACAAGTTTAGTGTGTTGAGAATGATATTTACAATCTAACTCTACAAATAGCATGATTTGCCTCCTCTAGCAATGGCGGGTTAGTTAGTTAGGTTGTAATTGTGTGTGGCGCTGGCACAACAGCTTGTCTCTTCTTGCTTATCCCTAGTACACGTGGTACAGGCCATGATAATCATGGTGGGTAGAAGTAGGTGACTGCTTTTACTGTAAGTACACCACATGTCTATACATGTGAAAAGCAGTACAGCTTGTCTCTTCTTGCTTATCCCTAGTACACGTGGTACAGGCCATGATAATCATGGTGGGTAGAAGTAGGTGACTGCTTTTACTGTAAGTACACCACATGTCTATACATGTGAAAAGCAGTACAGCTTGTCTAGTTTCTGCAAGTGTAAGAGTGTCTTCAATGGTGAGATGTGTGGTAGGTGCCCGGAGGCTGCCAAGGTGAAGCAGAAGATGCTGTACTCCAGCAGCTACGACGCCCTCAAGAAGGCGCTGGTGGGAGTGTACAAGTACATCCAGGCCTGCGACTTTGAGGAGGTCAGCCAGGAGGCCATTGAGGATGCCTTCAGGAAAGGAAGCAAGTAGGCAGCGGGCCCTTGCTGCCAACATTCCAATTGGTAGAAGACCTTTTTTCCCTCCCTCTCTCTCTTTTTTTTTTATATATATATTAATGTAGTACTGTGAAAAAGTGTCAATTAGAACAAAAAATTAAATAAATGCTTTCCATTTTTTTTTTTTTTTTTTTTTTTTCATTTTTATGGTCAATATTTATCACTATACCAATGGACCTCCCTCTTTTTGGATATCAATTTTTTTTTTGAGTGTTTGATGGAAGTTTTTCCATTCCTTTTATTTCAATTTTTTTTTTTTTAATTCTTCTCTCTGTAATCCATTCCCCAGTTTCTTACATTGATATCTTCCATTTCTTTTGCAGGATTTCTTTATGATATGTATTTTTAAAAAATCTGTTTTTTTTTCTTTATTTCCCTTAAGGATTAAAAAGTTTTGGTAAAAAGTAAACCATTTTTTCCCCTTTCTTGTTTATTTTGAGGGACTTTTTTTTTTTTCTTTTTATTTAAATAAAAACTTTGTTTCCAGGGGAAATATGTCTCCTTTTTTTTTTTTCCTTTCATTTTTTTTTTAATATATATTTTTTATTATATATATATTTAAAGGTTTATTTGTATTTCCAAAACCCTAATTTTAAGGGTGAATTCTTTTTTTTTTTTTTATATAATTTTGGAAATTTAAACTCTGTGACATGCTTTTTGAAAAATAAATAAAAGTGAAAACTTGTTGGCTATGTTTTTTTTTAAACATTTTTTTTTTTTTGTATTGAAAGACTTTTAAGCTTTTCTAAAATTTAGTGTCTGTAGAGTCAACAGGTTGTACACTTTGGAACTTTTTAAAAAATAATATATTATTTATTTAATAGGCTCTTTTTGGCAGTGAAAAATAAAGGAATCCTGTTTTAAGATGTTTGTTATTTGATGAAAACACTACATGTAAAACTTGGTGCTGTACTTGGCTTTGGTGGAAAGGTGGTGTACAGGGTTAGTTAAAAATGTTTCCACAGATTCTTGCTGAAGTCTAACCTCACCAGTGAGTGCAAGTCGCTAAATGGGGCTCTGGCACTTTGTAAGTTCAAAAGTCCCTTGGCAGAGCTGACTGCTATAGGGCGCGTCCCCAGGTGGCGGATAGGGGAACGACCTTCAGATATGAAGGCCAGCTGCGAAACAAGCAGAATAACTCTGACGAATAAGCAGTTGCGGACCACAACAGCAGCATTGTTAGGAGTAGACCTCTTTAAAAATCCTGACTTCAACTGACCCAGTTGATAGATCTCAGCAAGGGTCCCACTCCAGGGATACGGAGGAGCTGCGTCTGTACTCATGTTAGAGTCGGCAGCAAAGGCATCTGCTTCCATGTTAGGAACGGCCTCAAACTACAGGCAAAGTCAGACTTTCACCAAAGTGTGCCTGGATCATGTTGCCATGATCAATGAAAGCTGCACTCCTACACCCCATTCCAGGGGACCTTTGGGAGAGGTCGCTGCTAATCATAAAACAGCTCGAGGAGCATGAACTCATGGAATTCGTGTAATCTTTGCACAAGGGGATAAGAAACAACAACAAAAGTCAAAGTGCTCTCTACATGTGTAGAGGTGGTCTTCTTCGTTATCTTCACTCAGGGTATCAAATGTGTAGAGTTGACAACCACTGGGTGAAGTAGAATGTATCTGTCATTAAGACTAGGAGCACTACTCAGTAACAAACCACTGATTTAGTTCAAATATGAAATGGTCACCTCTGACATGAACAGACATATCTGCAGTTGTTCCTAACATCACAGTACCCTTACAGAGTTCTATCATAGGCCCAGGTTTTTTAATTAGCTGGTTACTGCACCCCCTCCTTTTTTCATGTGGATTTTTGACCAGGCAAAGTTGGAGTTTTGACTTGTAAAAGTAGTCCTAACAACTACCCACCATTATTTACTATGGCCTGTATCGCATGTACTATGGATAATAGTGCGAGTTACTTTTATTGCATAGAGTACTACTTGGTGATCAATAATGATATGGAAATCCATAGGTGTCCATGATAAAAAGAGCTTCACTTGGAATGTATGGGACCCTCAAGACAGGACTTATATTCTAACACTACCAAGATTGTTTTTTTTTTTTTTTACTAATAGATGTTGTACAGGGTATGATAATCATTGTAGGTAGTTAGCAACTGCGTGCACCACATGTCTACACATGTGAAAAGCAGTTTGACTTGGCACTTACAAATTGTACCAGAGCCCTTTTGGTTACTTATACTCGCTGGTAGGGTTGGACTTTTGCAAGATTTGGGGGCCACTGGAGCATTTTTTTAATTGGAAGAATGTGCCCAATGCAGGATTTGATCCGGGTCGTAGCAGTTGAAAACCAATGGTTTAGAGCATCCTTCCACCAACCCCTTACCAAGAGTCTTCTTTCTTATCTCCACTCAATCACACAAAGGTATCAAGCTTGTAAAGCTTGAGACTTTTGATGGTGTCTGCCGGGGAAGATTAGAGCTCATCAATGGATGAGTCAATAATATGTCTTGGGGTTGCAGGCTGAGAATTGCACTTAGTACATAGTAGGAAAACCTTGCAACCATTCTGGAAAGTCATTGAAATCAAAGACTTGTTCTCTTGGGAGGACAGAACTGGTGTTTGTCCCTCCTGCTCTGTACAAGTCATGTGCAGCATTAGATTTCCATTCCGGCAGACATTGGGTTTTGATGGTACAGAGGAGGTCTCTTTCATCTAGTTGGATGGTAGATTCTCTAGTGAATTTGATCTATGAATTTAGTCTCCATGACCTTGTATAATTATACATACATACAAGAGATAAAAAAAAAATGTAGAAATTAAAATTGGAAGGTTTTGTTCCAGTGATGTAACTTTTTTTTAGATGACAAGGTACCCTCTGTCTGGTCAGAACAAATGCTAAGACTAAGTGGTATTTAATGACAGGGTGTGTAAAGCACTGATAGTTTTCACAAATGCCTAGTTTTAGGGTTTGTTTTGATCAGAGAAGTGACTTCCCAGATCTATGATTAGATTAGCTAGAAATGATTTATTGAAACTTAGCATTTTGTTCAAGTCTTGTCATTTATTCAGCAGCTTAAAGGGTTATATAATTCTCTTAAAAATTAAAAGATAGAAAATCAATAACAAATTCTACCCCACTCTCACAAAATGTAGCTTGGCACCTGCAGCTCCAGAACACATTCTGGCTTGCATTAGATGCACTAAACAGGACCTTTGGAAGAGGCCGTTGCTTATCATTAAATAGCTTGAGGAGCATGAAATCCTGGAATTGGTGTAATCTTTATACAAGAGGATAAGACTTGGCAGAGCTGACTGCTACAGGGCACATCCCCAGATGGTATATAGGGGAATGTCCTTCAGATATGAAGGCCAGCTGTGAAACAAGAACTCTGATGAATAAGCAGTCGAGGACCAACAGCAGCATTGTTAGAAAGAGGAGAAAGACATTTGTTGATAGACCTCAACAAGGGTATACAGAGAAGCTGCATCTGTACTCATGTTAGGGTCGGCAGCAGAGGGATCCATGTTAAGAACAGCCTCAAAGTCAGACTTTCACCAAAGTGTGCCTGGATCATGGTGCCATGATCAATGAAAGCTACATCCCATTCCATGAGATAATGGACTCATGGAATTTGTGTGGTGGTGTCTTGTCCTTCCATGGAAAGAAAGGGTCCATTGCCCCGTTAGTCAGCCACATTTTCATTCCCTGTAGGCCTTCACAGTTACTGTAGCAGCTTGGGGCTCATGAAGTTCCCACTGTACTTCACCCTACAGGGCAGTTCCTTACTTGTTCTGCTTCTCCCACCTGCCATGTAAAGGAGGGGTTGGACTTCTGGGCAGGGTGAAATTTGTGTAATCTTTGCACAAGGGTATAAGAAACAACCACATAAAATATTTCCTACTGATGATGATGATGCTGAAACTTATTTGGTCTTGATAGTTCAACTCTGATCCAGGGGGGTCGGTTGAAGGCTGGTTAAACCTTTTGGTTTTCGACCACTACGACCCGGGTTCGATTCCCGCATTGGACACTTTTTTCTGTTTAAAAAAAATGCTCCAATGGCCCCCGATTCTTGCAAAAGTCCAACCCCACCAGCGAGTGCAAGTAACCAAACGGGGCTCTGGCACATTTGTAAGTGCAAAGTCGAACTGCTTTTCACATGTGTAGACATGTGGTGCGCTTACAGTAAAAGCAGTCGCTAACTACCCATCATGATTATCATGGCCTGTACCACGTGTACTAGGGATAAGCAAAAAAAAAACTCTGGTCCAAAATGTAACTTGTCCAGATTTTGTTAGGGTTGGCTTACAAGTGGTAAGTGGAAAGAAGTGGTTTCTACCTTCCCTTTAAGAATTTAGGAATTTTCCCTACTCCCATTGTGTCAGCCCATTTTCTTTATCATCCAGCTTACTTCCTTGTTCCTGCAGTAAATACTTCCTATTTATCCTTTACACTTTGTGGGGTCAAGTTCCACACAGTCTTCACATTCTTTTGCCTTCTTATGCAATTTTTTAAACAGTAGTTGCAAAAAATTAACATACATAAAGAAATACGTGAATTTATATATAGTTAAACCTGTCTATAGCGCCCCCTCTTGGGATTCACCAAAATAGGATGCTATAGACAGGTCACTTTTAATGTAAATCGTATCGTACTACGTATTTAAAATCAAACTATTTAGAGGGGGCGCTAAAGACAGGTTTAACTGTATATACACTCTTGGACAAAACTTTAAAATGTTTCATATTTTTATGTTACTATTTTTTTTTTAAAGGGAGACAGTGGCAATTTTTTTCACACTTTATCTTATGTGTCTTCAAAAAATGTTAGGAGCGTGTGTTCCTCATATCAGAGGAAGCCATTTCATATTGGAGCTAAATCGGCCTGCGACTGAGTAATGCTCCCAATCTTGATGACAAAGGCAGACACATTCTACTTCACCCAGTCATGATGGTTGTCAAATCTTAAAAAGGTGAATAAACCTAATGATAAAGTACAATTTAGATTATAGATTAGAATTAAAAGGTAACAAGACCAAATCTCTAAAGGATTGAAATGTTGGTGATTTTTCAATAACAGTATTATTACCATCATTAGACAAAATACTAAATGAAAAAAAAAAAATTAAAGCATTCCTTAAATAGTGTTTAAGGCTGTATTATTTAAGATATCCTCTGATATATATATATATTTTTATCATTTATTACTTTGTCTGATGATGACAAACATGTCAATGATTTGGTCTTATTACCTTTTGTGGATTAACTCAATATGATATATAACACATGAGAAGAAGTCGGTGGAAAGGTGATCTAAACCATTAGTTTTTGACCGCTACAACCCCGGATCGAATCCCGCATTGGGCACTTTTTTTCCTAATTAAAAAAATGCCCCAATGGCCCCGATTCTTGCAAAAGTCCAATCCCATCAGCAAGTGCAAGTAACCAAATGGAGCTCTGACACATTTGTAAATACAGAATTCAAACTGCTTTTCACATGTGTAGACATGTGATGCACTTATAGTAAAAGCAGTCGCTACCTACCCATCATGATTAATTATGGTCTCCTGTACCATGTGTACTTTGGATAAACTTTAAAAAAACACACATGAGAAGACACTCCTGCTAGAAGAGACCTATCTACAAAGGACAGTTTTCATCACCAAAATGACCATTTTTATCAATTGGTTACTTTCTGATAAGAGGAGACCTCTACCTAAAGGATATGTTGGCTCTGTAACTAGGTGTTGTCTATTACAGAGAGGTAGTTCTACTGTAGTAGGTTGAGGTTTATAAATGAAGGAGGGTTGATAAAGCACAATTTGGATTATAGATTATAATAAAAGAAAATAAAACCTAATCCAAATAATTTATTAGTGTGTGACATTTCTGCAACAACATTGTCACCATCATCAGACAAAAGAATAAAATAATCATTTCAATTATTTTATTTCCAAAGTGCTATATCCCGCAAGGGATACTTGCGCTAAACAAGGAGAAAAGTTTATTTACATAAGTTATTTACATTATTCAACACATGAAAACACTAGAGATCCAGATTTTGTAGAAAGTTTAGAATGTATTTACAAAATGTGAATTAAACTTCAAATATGTTTTTTTATCGGAAATCAAATCGTTAAGTTCACAAACAACTAGTTCATTCTTCATTCTATAATCTTGAAATGCTGGGAAATCGATCAGTAGATGTCTTGAGGTTTGTTCCTCAATACCACAAAAACAACTTGAATCCTCCACTGCCTTTATTCTATTTTAAAAACTTTTGAAATTTCCGTGGTTTGTAACAAATTGAGTATTATAAAAATTTGGACGAAAGTATTTAGGGATTTCTTGGGGAAAAAAGCTTAAGAAAGTTTTATTATTAGTCTTATTTTCTTTTATAAAGGAGGGTTGTTTCCCCAGCAAAAATCCTCAATGAATCCACAAAGGTTTATCCAGATTATGAATAGATAATTGTCTTGGAGGAACCTTATTAAAGAGTATGTCTAAACACAAGGTAATAAGACCAAATAAATAAATAGTGTATGATGTTTCGGTAACAGCATTGTTACCATCTTCAGACAAAAGTACTGAATGAATGTCATGTGAAAATGAATGTTTCATGGAACTCAATCATTCACTTAGTACTTTTGTCTGAAGATGATAACAACGCTGTTACCGAAACGTCGCATACTTTTTATTTATTTGGATATGGTCTTATTACCTTGTGCTTATAATCTACTAGCGGATGTACCCGGCTTCGCCCGTGTTTTACCCGAGTAAAGGTTTGTCTAACGAATCTCTCGATAAAGTGAACATTTTTTCCCGGTCCCTTGAAAAATACTCGATAAGTTGAATAAAATCAATATTAATCGGTACCCGAGTAAAGGTCTGTCTAACGAACATTTGTTAAAACAATTCTCTATAAACTTATAAAAAGAAATAGATATATTTTGATAATTTGAAACTGATAAAGTGATCATTTTTTCCCGGTCCCTGTGTGCCGTGTCATTCTGAATTTTGTCTTTCCTAATTTTCTACATTACAAAATCATTGTTTTATCTAGTGAACATTTTTTCCCGGTTTTTGAAAAATACTCGATAAGGTTGAATAAATTCATGGTCGTTTATGGAAGATGGACGAAGTTCCTGGAGGTCATCTTGGGCAAGCTCCCGCGAGGATTTTTTTCTTGTCTACTTGGCACAGCTGTGTCACCAACTCTGCCCTGATTGGTCGGTGGGTACTTGGACTGTCGGCCGGTGGCCGGACGGATCCATTCTCTCACGGGGTGGGGCAGACCTAAGCCTATCTCCGTTGCAAGGTGGCGCTGCTTGCGAGTTAAAGCTACAAATCTGCAAATAACTCTAAGGATATTTAAGATATTCAAGAAATTATTTTTCGTAAACCTTTCCGGGGATACACCTAATAATATCCCAAAATTTCACAGCGATTGGATGTATGGTTTTTGAATCCATAGAGGACACACACACACAGACATTCAATTTTATATATATAGACTAGCGGACGTACCCGGCTTCGCCCGAGGTTTTACCCGAGTAAAGGTTTGTCTAACGAACATTTGTTAAAACAATTCTCTATAAACTTATAAAAAAAAAAAGATATATTTTGATAATTTGAAACTCGTAAATTTGAATCTCTCGATAGAGTGAACATTTTTTCCCGGTCCCTGTGTGCCGTGTCATCCTGAATTTTGTCTTTCATAATTTTCTACATTACAAAATCATCGTTTTATCTAGTGAACATATTTTCCCGGTCCTTTGAAAAATACTCGATAAGTTGAATAAAGTCATGGTCGTGAATCTCTCGATAAAGTGATTATTTTTTCCCGGTCCCTGTGTGCCGTGTCATCCTGAATTTTGTCTTTCCTAATTTTCTACATTACAAAATCATCGTTTTATCTAGTGAACATATTTTCCCGGTCCTTTGAAAAATACTCGATAAGTTGAATAAAATCATGGTCGTTTATGGAAGATGGACGTAGTTCCCGGAGGTCACTCGCCCCCCGCGCGCCAGGACCTCTTGATCACTCTGATTGGCCGGCAGCCGGATGGGGGGGGGGGGCTCTTGATCCCTCTGATTGGTCGGCGGGAACTTGGACTGTCCAACCAACTGGCCGGCGGCCGGACAGGGGGGGAGGGGAAGATCTCCGTTGCAAGATGGCGCTGCTTGCGAGTTAAAGCTACAAATCTGCAAATATCTCTAAGGATATTCAAGATATTCAAGAAATTATTTTTCGTAAACCTTTCCGGGGATACGCCTAATAATATCCCAAAATTTCATGGCGATTGGATGTATGGTTTTTGAATCCATAGAGGACACACAGACAAACACACACACAGACATTCAATTTTATATATATTGTTGTGTGTCAACAAGCAACCGACCGGAAATACACGTGACGTTGCAAAATTATCTTAAATTTTGTTTATTTTATTTATTTATCAGAGAAACGGCACCACAGAGATAACAGGCACAAGTTGTATTTGACCACGGACCACCGTTTTCGCGGAATGCTAACAAATAAAACGTGCCAGTTATCGTTGGACCTTCGTGCATTATTATTTATTTTTTTTCTTTTTATCCTTGCCCGGCGAACGAAGATGTCTTGTACCAGATCTAACCCTCCCAACGGCTATACCGCAGATAATCGGACCTCAACAACCCTCCAGAACCGGACCACAAGCCCAGCCCTGGAACGGGCCATGGTGACCATAGCCCACCAGGACAATGTACTGCAACCTACCAATAAATTGAGTTTTATATCCCCACTTCAGCCTCATCACATGGTGGAGAGCAGTGTCGGCCCAGCACCTCAAGCAGCGAACATAAATATCGGCTACGGAGAGACGCCGCCGTGTTTCAACCCGGAGGAGGAAGACATCGAGGACCACGTGGAGGAATTCAAGATGTGGCTGACGGCGAGCAAGGTACCGAAGGGAGACTGGACGAAGGCCCTAGTCTGGCGGCTTCCACTTGACGGCCGCGAATTTATCAAGTGCAGGTTTGACCCTTC